ATATATATATATATATATATATATACACACATTTCCTTAACATGAAAATTGGTTTGTCACTTTGTAAGATTTAATCGGTTTGTGTTTGATTTATGACTATGTACATACACACACACACACACATATATATATATATATATATATATAGTATGTCATATGGAACCGCCTTGCTAGAGAGAGAGAGAGAGCTAAATGTTATACTTAATTAGGGGAATTAAAGAGAAGAGATGAGGGACAACTTTTCCTTTATCTCACTGGGTTCAGTTAAAGTTGGAGGGAATTCTGGTGTTTTTCATGGTTAAAGCACCCCTCTCTCTCTCTCTCTCTCTCTCTCTCTTATATTTGTTCTGAGAATATTTCCACTTTTGAAAGACTATATCTCATCCGGGTATCCTTTCAATCTTGTTTTGAATTCTCTTTTTCCTCTAAGAAAACGAATTTGGAAGTTGTTCCGACTCTCTGCTATCTTCTTCATCATCATCATCATCAACCCTTCTAACAAATCGAATGAACACAAAACCTCTTGATATTGATTCATTTACCAGCTCGTTTTTGTGTTCATCTGTCCAGAAACATTAGATCTTAATACTAGTAGAAGAAGAAGAAGAAGAAGACAAGAGGATCAAATATTCAAAGTCTTTTTATATGGGTGTGGATCAAAATCAAGATTTCATGTACGATTCTTGATCAAACATATATAACGAACAAAAAGAAACAGGCTTTTCGTAAGCAAGAGAAATGAATATCAGCAGCTGTGATCTCATTGATGCAAAGCTTGAAGAGCATCAACTGTGTGGATCTAAACACTGCCCCGGTTGTGGTCATAAACTCGAAGGGAAACCGGTACGTTGTACGCATACATATATATATATATATATATATATATATATATAACTAATCCTCTTATAATATTCTTAGCTTCAACTTAAAGATTTTGACAAATAAGAATCAATACAAGAGAATAATAGAATTATGCTTGTTCTTGAATTAATTACCCTTTTATTTTATATATAAACTAATAGCTGAATGCTGATTTCAATTTCTCCTACTATATTATTTTTCAAGAAACAAATTCCATCATAAAAAGCTTGTCATTAAGCTATTTTTGTTTCAGTTTCATATATATATATATATATATGTATGGATAATTTATGGATATTTTGATCATTTGCAGGATTGGGTAGGTTTACCAGCAGGAGTGAAATTTGATCCAACTGATCAAGAATTGATAGAGCATCTTGAAGCCAAAGTTGAAGCTAAAAATTTGAAATCTCACCCTTTGATTGATGAGTTCATCCCTACAATTGAAGGTGAAGATGGGATTTGTTATACCCATCCTGAAAAACTCCCCGGTGAGTACTGTTTCATCGCTCCGGTACACCGGAAAATATGGTGGTTTATAACGGCTTTCCGGTCATCGGGAAAAGATAAGAACAAGAAAACACGTCAGAATATGAGTTTGCTTGTTCGATACTTCAATGCGTTAGGTTTTACTAACAACACAGAAGAAAATTAGGGTTTTTCTTGTTTGTTTTGACTTTTTTTGAGTGACTTTTGCAATTGTCATGCCTAAGAAAATTAGGGTTTCTTGTTTGTTATGACTTTGAGGGTTTAATTCTTTCTTGTTTGATCTTTCAGGAGTTACAAGAGATGGGTTGAGTAGACACTTCTTTCATCGGCCTTCGAAAGCTTACACGACCGGGACAAGGAAAAGGCGAAAAATCCAGACGGAATGTGACCTACAAGGCGGTGAAACACGGTGGCACAAAACGGGTAAAACCCGACCGGTCATGGTGAACGGGAAGCAAAAAGGGTGCAAGAAAATCTTGGTACTCTATACCAACTTTGGGAAAAACAGAAAACCCGAAAAGACGAATTGGGTGATGCATCAATACCATCTTGGACAACACGAGGAGGAGAGAGAAGGCGAGCTCGTTGTATCGAAGATATTTTACCAGACTCAACCACGGCAATGCAATTGGTCCGAAAGAGCTATGAATAACAACATCTTATTGAACAACATTCGCTCCACCGAAGGGGTGAATATTCAAATGAACGAAATGAATAACGGTAGTAGTAGAAGGGAGAGTAGGAGCGGAAGTGGGAGTTGTTCATCTTCAAAGGAAGTTAATGTTACTCCCACGACTACTATTACTACCGCTACTGCTGCTACCGTTACCGCCCACAATAACATCGGAGATGAACTCGTTGGCACGGTTTTGTCGAGTTACAATCCAATGGATCAAATGCAGCATTTCAAAGGTGTTGATCAATATAGCTTCATGCCGTATAGAAAAAGCTTTGGTGAGGTATGTTTCTTGATCAAATTCATCAAGGGGTAACACAAATCTTGTAAATTTACACCATTTAAAGTTTCCATTTTGTGAATCCCAATTGAGATCACTTATGTCAAATAGTCAAGAAAACTCAAAACTATACCTAGTAAATTACTAAGGTGTTAACACAAGGGTGGTGTATGATTGGTTTGAGCTTGACTCCAAAGATCAAAAGTATCAGGAAGTTTCAGGTTCAAATCCAAGGAAGAATAAAAATCTCCTTGTGGCCACAGAGGTTCAAATGGGTGACTCCGGGCTATCTGCAAAGCAGGTCGTCGCCTTGGGACTAGTTTGCTCGCACAGTGAGTTGGATATTGAGGTTAATCAAAAAAAAATTACTAAGGTGTGTGATTGAACATCGGACAAAAATGACATTTTAAATGTGATTTTTTGATTTTTTTAAAAGTATATATTATTTATATACAGTAAATATATACTCATCTTTTGTGAGGTTTGAATCTTTGACTTCTGTAAGACTGGACTCTGCTAATAAACCCGGATACCGTTCCACCGATAGTCTTTTTAATGATTTTTAATGTCTTTATGGATAAAGACATTAACTTGGAATGACTTAAAATCTGGATTGTTTTCTTGTTGCAAAAGGGTTGGTTGATTGTATTTTACATCACCTTTTTGGCTTATGGGCATGAAATGAGGTCCAAAAATGTGGACATTGGTTGAGTGCAAGGTTAAGAGATGAACTCAAAACGGTTTAAATGTTGCTTTTCTTATAGAAATTGCTTGTATAATCAGCAACTCCAATCTCTCTCTATCTATATATATATATACACACACACATACAAAAATATATATATAGATATAGATACAAGTCTAGATCATATAAAACCAGTCTGTTTTCGTGAGACCAAAAAATCACATAAATAACACTGAAATGCTGTGAAGGTTCAAAGTTTTTATTTTACTTTCACAATGTTTTTTTATGAAGTTTCAGTGTTATTTTGTCGTCTCATGAGTTTCACGAAAACAGACTGGTCTCACATGAACCTAATACCCGTATATATGTGTGTGTGTATATATATATATATATATATAATGCATGAAGTACATGTTGTGCTGTATGCATTCTTCTGCTAGAAAAAGGTTAAGAGAGTACAAGTTCATTTTGCAGGTGGGAACAACAGGAGGAGAGGCTTCTATCACGTGCGATGGGCGTGACCTGCAAAGGCAACAACAACAGCAGCAGCAGCAGCACATGAACCTTGAGGATGATCAGCATCAAAATCCACATCATCATCAGAATTATCCACATCAGCACCAGGTGGCAACAACAGCCTTCCATGTCAGCAGGCCATCTCATGCCATATCAGCCATCATCTCCCCTTCTCCCCTACATCACACCTCCATTATTCTTGATGATGACTCCTTTCATGTCGCCAGGATCATGGAAAATTTTCAGGTAATTAAATTAATTAAATTGTCCCTATTTTCATTTTCTGTAATTTGTTCCATACATTTTAACAGCAAAAAAATACCATATATTTTACTAAATTATGGGGGAAAATAATTATTAAATTGTATCATATTAAATTATTAATTAATTAATTAAATTGCTTTTTTATTAATCAATAAAACATATTTTCACAAGTATAATATTTTTTACAAATTTAAAGTCAAGTATATTAATAGTGACAAATGTGCAATTTATAAATACATCTTTTCAAGATTTATGCAATTTCAGTATTATTTAAGTTAAAATCAAGCATACAGATTTGAACATCTTCAACAGTTATATTCTAATAGAAATTTCATTAATTTAAGAGGGTTTTGTGCTGTAACAACTTAATTATGTTATATTATATGGTAAAATAGAAAAAAAAACAGAAAGACAGTCTATAAAGATATATAGAGAAATAGTATTTAAATCTTTCTCATGAATAAGTAGTAATGAAAATAAATATTTAGGAAAGAAAAGAAAAGAAAAGAAAAATATTGTATTAAATGTATTGAACATTTTAATAATGTAGTTAATGATAGAACTGTTAAAATATATAGAGTATCTGCTGGAATTGGATAAGATTTTTTTTTTACATATTTTGAACTTTTATACTTTATTTTAGAAAAATTATAACATAATTATTAGAGATGTTCTAGCAGTTCAATTAAAGAAACCACAAACAATCAACCATATATATATATATATATATATATATATAGAGAGAGAGAGAGAGAGAGAGTACGTGAACCCAATATATATATATATATATATATTGTTTCAAATACAACCTATCGCATTTATACAACCAATGCAACTCAATAAAACACCGGGATATCTGTGAGATCCCATTTTAATCGCACGAGAACATTGTAATTATAATGAGTATGCTTATAATATATATATATATATATATATATATATATATATATATATAAAACGATAGAAAATTGAGAATCATTTTAATCTTATTTTGCTAACATTGATAATGGGTGATAAAGGGTGTTTTCTTTTGGTGTTGTCAGCTAAGTTGAGAACAAGTAATCATACTTTCACTATTGATGTTGTTGTTTTGTTGAGGACAATACATAATCATATGCATAATTAATTATGTTTTATTATAGAGTAATGTCTGTAGCCATTAAGCATGCATGCACACCACATACACCCTTCATCAACAGTTGCTCTTGCTTTTATATATTATTTTACTTATATATATATATATATATATATATATATATATGTTATTTCATATGTACTTAGTTCACAATATAAACTTTTTGATGCATTTGTGAAACATAAAATACATGTAAAAATGTTTCACTTTGTGAACCAACTAGATAAGAAACAAACGCATTCTGAAACAAGTATACGTTAATCAATACATTAAATGCTATACTTAGATGAAAAATAAATCATGTGAAATAAAACCTTAAGGTAAAAGTGCTCATAGATCTTACAAAATTAATTACCCATAAATGATATTGTTGCAAGTTAATTTATATTCGTCTTAGAAATATTTTTCAAGAAATTTACTTTCATCATAGGTCGACTGTATCAAATATTGTCTGTTTTGTCCACACAACTAGATTTGGTTTTAAAACGTGTTTTGTAAAGGAGGTATCAAGTCCCATATTTTGTGTGAAGTTTCAAGTATTATTTTGTGGTCTCACGAAAATAGATTCATCTCACGTGAACCCAACCCTCGATAATATATATATATATATATATATATAGATATAGATATAGATAGGGTTGTTTACTTATTAAAATGTTGTTATATATGATTTAAACAGCAGCAACAGCAGCATCATCATAATAAGATAGGAGGAAGATCAGCATCAGGATTGGAGGAACTCATAATGGGCTGCACTCCATCATCATCAACTGATATCAAAGAAGTGAGTTTTGCCACCTTTTTACTCTCAATTTTATCTCTCTCTCTCTCTCTCTATATATATATATGCACATATATATATATATATATGCAATGGCTATGTGTGTGAGTACCTAGAAAATAGAAAAAAAGGAAAATTGAAATGAATTTAAAGAAGGAAAGTTATTATCTCTTTATCTCTTTTGATGGTTCTCATTACCAATTACATGAGAAGTAACACAATGGTGAAAAGATAAAGAGATAAAGAACCATCCAACTCTATATCATCATCTTTAACCTAATTTTTTAAATTTAATATTAAAATAATATATTAAACTATTAATTTATATATATATATATATATATATATATATAATTATAAAAATTTAAATAAAATATTAATAATTGATTATAGAGACATACTTAAAATATAGAGGCTGACATTTTTTACCTTCTTTTTTTTAGTGTTTTAGTGTTAGGTTGGAGATAAAAACGTCTTCTTTGTGTGTTATAGGGTTTAGTTTTGTATTTTTTCTTAAATATTTTTTTAATTAAAATTTAATCATAAATGGGGGAAAAGTTTAAGAAATTCAGTTGTTTTCTTATTAAATATGGAAAAGGGTTTATTTTGATTATTTCAATAACTCTTAAATGGTTTAAATTGAGAATTTAGGTTATCCATTGCTTTCAATTTACATGATAATTATGGATCAATTTCCAATTGAAAGTAACCAAATATAGTGTCATAACGAAAAAGATTTATATTACATTAAAAAAATGGGGTTCAAACGAGAACAATAACAAAATAAGAAAACACAAAAACGGTCAAACCACATGCAAAATCACATGTGGTTTTAAACCAATGGTTAACACAAGCATTTGCGAGCGACGTGGCACATGAATCACATGTGATTTTACACATGATTTCAGTGTAAAATTACATAATCCAACCATTTTTTATTTGATTATTGTTCTCATGTAAATTCTAACTCCATATAAATATCTTAAAAAAATCTTCCAGTATATATATATATATATATTCAAGTTGTAATTGGGCAATCACATAGGGTGAATTTGTCTTTAATCCAAATGGGGTATTTTCTTTTATACTAAAATTGATATTTATACTCTTTATAAGACACCCCGTTACATATACATTCTTGGGTATAAAAGTACGACTCGAATAGAAAATTTAACGGAGTCGAAAACCATTTACATTTGTGGAAAATCCAAAATTATAATACACTATTTCGTAAGTATTTTGGAAAGGGTCTTATAAGTAAAAACACCGTTCATATATTATACCAGTTTTTTACCTAATTATCAGATCATTAAACCAATATTAGTTCATTGTCGAACATAATTCGTTACATGATTTACATTAAATGTAAAGAATTACAAACTATTATAAATGATATTACACGAGGTCTTCATTTTGCATTTTATGGGGGTTAATTATTAATTTATAGAGATAAAATAGAGAGAGTGTGGTGGTGGGGTTGTTATTATATGTAAATGCAACAAAATGATATAGAAATGGTTGATTTTGGCTTTAGGGTGCAAAATAATATGATAAAAAGTGAGCCAAAAGATGAGCCATAAATTGTGGAACCTGCTTCCTTTTCCTTCTTACACAACAAGAGCAAAAGGTTAAAAGAAACTCAAAAACACACATACATACATATATATATATATATATATATATATAGGTTTGGATTTATGTAAGATCAGACTGTTTTCATGAGACCACAAAATAACACTAAAACTTCATAACAAACTGTTGTGAAGGTATCAAAAACACCAACCCTTCAAAGCAATAGCAATGTAAAGGTTTATATTGACAGTGTTTTGTTGTGGAGTTTTAGTATTCTCACGATACTTGGCTATTATATTAGATCTCTCTCTCTCTCTCTCTCTCTCTATATATATATATATATATATATATATATTTCGCAAGATAGAAATATTAGGGTTCCTTTTATGATTTCTAACACCATTCACAAAATATATTATAGCATAAAGTTTACAAACTAAGGCTTGTTTATAGGAAAAAAAATAACAACCAAAGTGTACAAAAATGACTGACATTGATCATATTGTGAAAATATGTACGCAAACATGATGGTATTTTGTAACGAAAATACAGATATAATATATTCAAAAGTTTTATTACCTGAGTAAAAACCAATAAACATCAAGTTCGTCTTATTCAAATAACTGTTTATATGCCCATGATTAAAATTGAGTTGTGACTTTTTTTTATTGACTTGAATATCCAACCCGCTATGCGAGCTAACTAATTCCAGGACAATCACTTGCTTTGTGGTAGCCCAGAGTCACCGTATTTGAACCTCCATGGCAACAAGGAGATTTTTATTCCTCGCTAATTGGATTTGAACCTGAGACTTTTATACACTTTTGACTTTTGGAGTCCAAACTCAAATCAATCAGTCACCACCCTTGCGGTTTAAACTGTGAGTTTATAGCATGTGGGGAATTGAGGATTTAAGCAAGTTAGAGTAGGGTTTGGCAAGAAAAAAGCAAATGTGAAAGGAAAGGAAAGATGGTGACCCATAATCTTTTGCAAGTGTATGGTATCCTAAGACATATATACACAACACCCAATGTGATTGAAGAGCAAAAGTAGCAACAAATATTTGGTATAACTTCCTATGACTTGATCCCTTTTTCTTTTACACATACATATATATATATATATGTGTATATATATATATACGTATATATATATATATGTGTGTATATGTGTGTGTGTGTGTATATATATGTGTATATATATATATATATATATATATGTATATGTGTGTGTGAGAGAGAGGTTCAAACGAGAACACTTTAACATATGTGATAATGTATGTGGTAAGAGCTGGTGGTATGCGGACGACTTGGCTCGCGACTTAAGTTGTGTCAAATGTCGCCTTTTGTCTCTGATTTAGTATCATATGATATAGTATAATATCATATGTGATTAATTATAGTAAATGGCGTTGTCGAGTTTGTATAAAATGAAGATATTCATACTTGAACTTTTCCATATATATATATATATATATATGTGTACGAAGGTTTAAATAATAAAATAAAAAACGTATGAATAATTTATTCAATGTAAATCATTAATAAAAACCAAAAAAATATCAATTTAAAGATTCATATATTTGCTTGGATATCTTCTTACCAATTATTCATATATAAAGACGTACATACGAACTCATGTTTTTATTATCAATAATTCATATGTGAATCATTTACTCGTATTTTTTCAACTTCTTCGTCTCTCTTATTTCAACGTTTATATATATATATATATATATATATATATATTGCATGCATTCCATATTCCCTTTTTAGAAATGCAAACCCTAAAAAAGTGTAATTGTGTTGAATGCAGGAGTGTTCCATCACAAACCCACAGGAGGCAGATTGGTTGAAGTACTCCACCTTTTGGCCTGACCCTGATCACCATGTCTAAAACCCACCCCATAAATAAACAACAAACTAAGACACCATATATGAATACATACATATATATA